TCAGTCGTCAAATATGGTTTAATCCTTTTCCTAACATTGAACATACATGTATTCCTGACAGCTTTTGCAAGCGTATCCTTGGATTGAAAAGTATTACTAGCAAAGCACCCAGAGATGCTGTGAAAAGATGTTCTGTTGCGTCTTCATTCCTTGAGAAGTATACGATTCACTGCAGTGCCATCTGTCGAAATTAGTGCCCGATCTGTCCATGATGTATTCATGAACCAGAATTCCCCTAAAATCTCACAAGCTGGTATTGTAGTTTTCATGTAACAATAGTAACAAGAATTTTCGAACGTTTTCTAAGGGTTATCCAAACATAAAGAAGAGACTCTTGCAACATCATTTCACAGTAATGTTCCAAGATTCCATTACATATTTTACGTGTTGATTCTCAAGTTGAACTAAAAGTTCACCGGAAATCAACCCATAAAAGAACTCGGTGTGAAACCAACAAATAACAAGTCAATGGGATACAGTTAACAATTGTATTCTAAAATTAACTAGGTTTACAAATTAATACAAATCGTTACAAAGATATTTCAGTGGAGGAACAAAATAGGATAGCACTACCAATGCAGAGGCAGTCTACTACAAAAAGCAGTGATTGTAGCATAAGACACAGATATGACAATATGCACCTCAATGCAATAATGGCTGAGGCTGAGTATCCAGGGTAATGATAATCTCCACACAATTGCTGGTATTCTTTTAACTTGACATATAATGCGCCATGAGAGGCAAGAGTAAGCTCCCCTTGAATACCTCAGAAAAAGACTCCAGACAATTCTCCGACTATATGGGTCAGAATGTTGTGGAAAGGCCGATAGGATTGTAATTTTGTCCAGAAAACAGTAGTCTTAATATAGAACAAGACTAAGAAGAGAGAACAGAGCTCACTACTTCCCCTTTATTGTATGTCAACAGGTGCAATGTATTACACTTGAAACACTAGAAATAACACCGCCACAAAAAACGGATATTTGTCTTATTTCTTACAAGACATCTTTGTATTTATCCTTTCCATCACAAGCTGATGTGATATGTTTCCTGAAGCATGACTAATGGGAAGTTTGGAAAATATGTTCTATGCTCTGAAAAAGCGAAACAAGTTTCCGAAGGTTTTAAATACACAGGTAAGTAAAGGTTTCTCAGATATGCCATGTATAAATATAATGCCAATTGTAGGTCTGTACATTAATCTTGTCAAGCGCAGTCAAAGTCTCTCAGATATGCCATGTGCAAATATGATGCCAGTTGTATGCCTGTACATTAATCTTGTCAAGCGCAGTCAAAGTCTCTCAGGTATGCCATGTATATAGATATAATGCCAATTGTATGTCTGAACATTAATCTTGTCAAGCGCTGTCAAAGTTTCTCAGATATGCCATTTGCAAATATAATGCCAATTGTATGTCTGAACATTAATCTTGTCAAGCGCAGTCAAAGTTCTTCAGGTATGCCATGTGCAAATATAATGCCAATTGTATGTCTGAACATTAATCTTGTCAAGCGCAGTCAAAGTCTCAGGTATGCCATGTGCAAATATAATGCCAATTGTATGTCTGTACATTAATCTTGTCAAGCGCAGTCAAAGTTTCTCAGATATGCCATGTGCAAATATAATGCCAATTGTATGTCTGAACATTAATCTCGTCAAGCGCAATCAAAGTTTTTCAGGTATGCCATGTGCAAATATAATGCCAATTGTATGTTTGTACATTAATCTCGTCAAGGGCAGTCAAAGTCTCAGGTATGCCATGTGCAAATATAATGCCAATTGTATGTCTGAACATTAATCTCGTCAAGCGCAGTCAAAGTTCTCAGGTATGCCATATGCAAATATCATGCCAATTGTATGTCTGAACATTAATCTCGTCAAGCGCAGTCAAAGTTTCTCAGGTATGCCATGTGCAAAATATGATGCCAATTGTATGTCTGAACATTAATCTCGTCAAGCGCAATCAAAGTTTTCTCAGGTATGCCATATGCAAATATAATGCCAATTGCGTGTTTGTACATTAATCTCGTCAAGCGCAGTCAAAGTCTCAGGTATGCCATGTGCAAATATGATGCCAATTGTATGTCTGAACATTAATCTCGTCAAGCGCAGTCAAAGTTCTTCAGATATGCCATGTATGCAAATATAATGCCAATTGTATGTCTGAACATTAATCTCGTCAAGCGCAGTCAAAGTCTCTCAGGTATGCCATGTGCAAATATGATGCCAATTGTATGTCTGTACATTAATCTTGTCAAGCGCAGTCAAAGTTCTCAGGTATGCCATGTGCAAATATGATGCCAATTGTATGTCTGTACATTAATCTTGTCAAGCGCAGTCAAAGTCTCTCAGGTATGCCATGTATAAATATGATGCCAATTGTATGTCTGTACATTAATCTCGTCAAGCGCAGTCAAAGTCTCTCAGATATGCCATGTGCAAATATAATGCCAATTGTATGTCTGAACATTAATCTTGTCAAGCGCAGTCAAAGTTTCTCAGGTATGGCATATGCAAATATGATGCCAATTGTATGTCTGTACATTAATCTCGTCAAGCGCAGTCAAAGTCTCTCAGGTATGCCATGTGCAAATATAATGCCAATTGTATGTTTGTACATTAATCTTGTCAAGCGCAGTCAAAGTTTTCAGGTATGCCATGTGCAAATATGATGCCAATTGTATGTTTGTACATTAATCTTGTCAAGCGCAGTCAAAGTCTCTCAGGTATGCCATGTGCAAATATGATGCCAATTGTGTGTCTGTACATTAATCTTGTCAAGCGCCATATGATGATGCACTGTAAAATTTGGACAGTGGTCCAAGAGAGTTGGATTTAATAGAGCATTTAGCATTAAATGTTTGTTTCACAAACCTCTTCAAAATCGCAGTAAATACAAAATACCCAAAACCTAAACCATTTGATTTTGATGAAGACACATCTTGAATATACACAATGCCATATAGAAACTGGTCGCATGTGACACATGTTATATTTGGGATTATTCTTTCTACAGATTGTTGTAATTTGTCAGACAGACAGACAGACAGACAGACAGGTTTATTCGGTAATTTTAGGCCCAAGGCCCATAATACATACTTTGGCAAAAGTAAATACATACTGAGTAAAGCTAAGTAAAGCTTTAGTATTTATTTGTTTTTACAGATAATCATTCCTTCTAAGGCGAACTTATGAAAGATATTTACTCAATGATTTTTAAAATATGTATATTGTCTCGATGACAACAATCGGATGAAGGTTTCAATTGTCGGCGGTTGAGTCAGATATATTGAAAAACAATCAGATCTTTGTTGGGAATATTTTGGACATATTAATAAAATATGGAATTCATCTTCGATGTAATCAAGGCCAGCAGCATGACGAAAAAGAGGCAGAGACGTTTATTATACGGGGTGTTTGTATGACGGCCACATTCCACTGCGAGTCTGAAGTTACAGCACCGAAACTGAGTTATGATTTTACGTTGATTTGGTAGCACCACTGGTTTAATATGGTACGACGCTTAGAGATGATTTAAATTGTGAATAGTATTTACATTTGGGTGACGAAAATAGTGATGCATGCCAGTTTTGAGTGAAGCAGTCATAGAATCTCTGTTTAAAAATTACCATGAATGTGGATATACAGCCTATGTCTTGAGATATCCATAAGAAACCAAATCCATATTGGAATAATATCAACCTGTATATGAGAAGCCCATGTTGTTTTACCATTATCATCGAGAGTTTTCATCATTAGATATGCCTGATAAGGAAGTCTGTTTCGTGGAAGCTGCATCAGTCTGCACCAGTACTTGACTGCTCTTGAGATATATTGATACTGAGGGGAGCTCTCCCACTCTCCCAGAACCATGTTGTTATTGGTAGTTTTTACAGACTTTAAGAAATGACGTGCAAAATCTGGTGTGCACAGTTTCAATAATTTTACAGTAGCTTGTTCCCCATATTTCAGATCCGTAACAGAGTATTGGTGCAATCATAGAGTCAAATATCTTAAACAAATCATGATGGTTAATATATCCAAAACATTTTTGATAATTGTTGATAGAAAATATGGCCTTCCTCGCTTGAGAGACGATAAACAGGTTTTCGCTTTTGTCCATGATAATCTTGGAGTAAACACAATACCTAAGTATCTATACATATTAACAACCTCAATTTGTGTTCCATTTAAAACCACTTCTCATAATCCCTGGAGCGGACCTCCATTGCGAAATACCAGTATTTTCGTCTTTTCAGGTTCACCTTCATTCCAGTCTCTGCATTCGAACCCAGTGGAAACCGCGGTGGTTGAGCGGATTGAAAGGGTGACATTGTGTGCTGGCGATTAGGTGCTTTACGCCGTGGGAGCAATTATCACTTGTCAGAGAGATATACACAAAGTACGTGATCCTAACTACCAGTTGTCCGACTTCCTTTTTTTATTTATTATTTTTTGTAAAAGCCACGGTGGTTGAGAGGGTTAGGTCAGTGACTTTGTGTGCTGATGATTAGGTGTCTGAATCAGAGAGTGTGGGTTAGACCCAACAAAAGCACTAGAACCTGTACTTTATTGAGAAAGTGTAATCCCAACTATAACATGTCCTAGACACACCTTGTATTAAATACGGTGTCATGCTGGTTCTTAAATATGGCAGAAGATGGTAGATGAAGGGATACAATTACTTGATTGAATGACATCTGACAATAATCTTGAAACCTCATTAAACTATCTTTTCAAGGCCAGAGCGGCCAGTTATGTGGCTGGATTAAGGCATCGTCCTGAAGATATGGTCGTGTCAGTATCATGGAAGTGTGTCGCCATTCTCTAGTGTTCAAATGGCCATGGTTGGATAACTTCCTATGACCTACGTAAATTTGTAACCGTGAGGTCATAGACTATGATGTGGATAACAGCTGATGCTATCACCAACTGTTTTCGTGTTGCAAAATGCAAAGAAACTCCCAAAGGAATCACAAAATCACAAATACTTATCATTGGATGATCATATTTTATTAATCCACACCAGTCATTACAAAACGACCGAATATCCCATAGTACGTGTCCGTCTTGTTCCGGTCAGCTGAAACATAACAAAAGTCATACTCACTCAGAATATATACACCTGTAGAGTTTAACTGAATGCATATTTCTTAAATAATACCTACCAATAAACATATCTGAATATTTGGTTTCGTAAATGGCCTATTTTCGTAACACTGTGTGCTCAGACTTGCTGGAAATCGTTCACAATGTAAACCGATCTTTAAAAAATGTTTTATAATATAACATGTTACTCGTTTGAAGAGACTCGACTATCTAAACTGAAATCAAACAATGTTTTGTAGTATTCAATAATGTTACAGGTTGTGACAATTTTCAATTGATTATGTGTTTAACTATAAATGAAACAATGATGGAAGATATCCGTGTCGTTAAGACATGAGTTCTCATCTTGTATTCAGTGACCTACATGTTGATTGCAATCGTTTCTTCTAGGCTTTGAAAGCACAGGCACCGATGACAGTTCCATCCGGGCATTTGTAAGCATCACAAGCGATCTTTCTAGCGTTAGCCTGGACAGAGTAACAGAGAGCTTCATTTAAAAATCATTTGGCGAAGACCCAGTCTGAATAGCTTGGTCTAAGACAGTCAGATACTTTTGAATATTTACTTTATGCTTCAGTTTACATTTTTATTGACACTCAATGTAGGGTATCGTTGGCATCTGGCTTATATTCTCATGGATGTACCTCTACCATGGAAAATGAGGCCATCAGTTCCTATTGGAAGTGCACTGGGTTAATTGGGTTGACGCCGGTATGAACAATATTTCAGTTACAATGCAACATACAACGGTAAAAAAGAAGCGCTGATGAAACGCTATGAAGAAAATCTGCAGCGCCTAGCGTTATACTAATTGACTCAAATGATATACCCCAGTGGGTCAAAATGGAATCATTGAAGATCCATAATGATAATGGGTAAAAGAGTTATGAACTCATCGTGAGACATAATGACTATATTGAACAATGAAGAATCCTTGCTGCTTAAGGACAATACTTAGTTGTGAGTCTTAAACCTCTGAATAATCAATATCATCTAAACTGAAAGTTCGACATGACATTATCAAACATACCACGCCGTTCATCACTGGATTGTCTGGTCATGTCTGATTGTTTACAGAAAGCCTCACAAGAACCAAACAAGCAAACACATGTACCATGCACCAAACAATTATTCGCTTATAAGGAAGCGATAGTTAGGGCATTACCGTTAATATAAATAGGGACTTCGTGCAGTCAGTTTGGAATCACTTCACACTTGGAAAGAATTACTTACCAGTTCAGCACTGTCACCCAGTTTGGATGCAAATGCGAGAGCGTCTTCAGCCGAATCCCCAGGTTCAGTGTAGGAAATCCCACCGAGTCTTTCGACCTCTGTAGCCTCGCATGACTCAGCCATACCATCAGCATCAAGGAAAAGCTTAGCTCCTCCAAGCCTCTGCAGTTAAATACATATATGTGCTGGAGAATTAGAGTTAAAGTAATACAACCAAGTGAAGGTGCATAGTAGTGAGTGAGTTTAGTTTTACGCCGCACTCAGCAATATTCCAGCTATATATGGCGGCGGTCTGTAAATAATCGAGTCTGGACCAGACAATCCATGGATCAACAGCATGAACATTGATCTACGCAATTGGGATACGATGACATGTGTCAACCCAGTCAGCGAGCCTGACCACCCGATCCCGTTAGTCGCCTCTTACGACAAGCATGGGTTGCTGAAAATAAATTCTAACCCGGATCTTCACGGGTGAGGTGAATAGTAATCAAAAACTACCCTTTCTACACCCATAAGAAATATCTGCTTAAAACAGACTCGATTGTAAAGTTCAGTCTATATCATAAGCATGTGTTATGCATCACTGTCAAATAGTGATGATACCAGGTGTTCGTGAAAAGGTGAGCGTATCCTGCCTCATAGGTGGCACCCGTCATGAGCATATGCAAAGGCTAATCAATGGTTCACCTAAAGAAATCGGGAACGTGTGTCACACGTCTAAATCGGAAGTCATTTTTGTCTTTGGAATGGTCCTCCATAGGTCTACCATGAATCATGGGCTTGAATGTTGGTGGTTTTATAAAGGATCGCAGATTAAGGTCGTGCCATACTATAAATATCTCGGACTGATCTTTACACCCAAAGCCGTATGGACTCGAGGAGCAACAACAACTTTAGCTCAACAAGCCGAGAAAGTGTGTCAGGTAATTTACAAACAACATTGTATGTGTGGTGGACTGCCGATCAATGTAACTGCAAACCTATTCGACAGAATGGTTTTTCCAATCTTGACATACGGAGCGAATATCTGGGGTTTTCAACATGTTCAGCGCATTGAAAATGGTCAGCTGAAATATTTCACGAAAATTATATATGTACCTAAAAATGCATGCAATGCTGCCGTTCTTCGAGACTGGGGAAGAAATACTATTTTAAATTTCGTCACACATGTAATGATGTAGCTCACATACTGGACCAAACTTCTTTTGATGGAAAATCGCCGACTCCCGAAGCAGACCTATATGATGTTATATGGATTGGACAGTGTAAATCGTACGTCATGGGCTTCAAAAGTTAAACAGATTTTATTTTTATATGAATTTGGATACACATGGATCATGCAGGACTTTGGCAATAGAACACTCTTTCTAACAGAAATACAACAACGTATCATCGACATAGGTATTCAACAATGGCAAGCAGACATTAAAAACAACTCTAAACTATCTTCATATTCTACCTTTAAGTCAGTTTTGAATGTCGAACAATATCTAACTCATATCAACTTAAGAATTTACCGTCAACCTTTATCAAGATTATATCTGCGGATGCCACAACTTAAGGATTGAACTTGGACGAAGACTCGGAATAGATCAGGAAAGCAGATTATGTACTCATTGTAGCCGCAACGGAATAGATGTAGTTGAAAATGATTTCCTTTTCTTACTTGTATGCAAAGCCTTTTCAAATCTACGAAAATCATATATTCACCCTGCATACCATGAACACCCTTCTGTTGCAGCATTTGTAAACCTTATCAATTCCACATGTCCTCAAACACTGCTAAAACTAAACACTAAGTATGTGTTTCTAGCATTTAAACTTAACCCTTCGGAAAACACCAATAATGTTATTATCATGCATTGTGTATTACTATAGTACTACTTTGTGGAATTTATTTATCGTTTATATATTGAGGTAAAACAAAATGTGTATGTGCGGTTACTGTACGTCTTATGGGCCTGTGGCCTTTGACTTGAATGAATAAAGAAAAAATAAAAAAAATAAAAAGGATGTTGTAAACTTGCAACTTCTGAACAAGTGGTGTATGACGCTCGTGAAAATGTTGGTCAAAACGAGTTTAGCTCAAGAGTTGTGGAAAGTAGACACCTTAGGGACTTTAAGGGAAAGTTGACTAATGAAAAGTTAAAATGACCCCCTTTGTCGTCGAGCCTTGTAGAGAGTAATTTTGTGACACTGAATATCTAAATCTAAAACTCATGAAGTCTCATTTATCTCCTTTATTTCAAATTCAGCTGAGTGAAAACAGTGAAATTCAACATTATGTTTGAAGGTTTTAGATCACCGGTATACCGTAGGCTTTAGTTTAACTTCTAGTCCAATTCCTTTGTCTTGATTTTGCCAACCCCAGGAAAATTCTGATTCATGTGCGTAAACAAACACATCCACATGGAGGGGAGCACAGCAGGTGTTTATGGGGGTGTTACTTCCAAAATCTTTCTTGACCTGAACATCCAGGATGCTTCTTTTAAACGGAAGCATCTTCACATCAAACGTATCATTCAAACATTGCAGAAACGAAAAATGAATATAAATACTTGTAATATAAAGAGCGATGTGTCTCTGAGTTGAATATGTTGAAGGTAGGAGAGTTCTGTTTAAGATGGGATTTAAATTTTGGATTGATTATGGTAAACAAACAACAATCAAAGACTTACAAGTTTCGTGTTGCCGCTTGCCTTAATCACAGCCTTGGTGAGACCCCTCCTGTTGGAGGCTAAGGAGGATACCATGGCAACAACAGCCAGGACGAAAACAAGACAGGTGATTCTCAGCATTTTGAATTGTTCTGGGCTAAAAAGAAAGTTGCAGAATGAATGGTATAATATTTTGTACCAATGTGGGGAATCGAGCCTCTTAGGCTTGACGAGGGAACGTTTTTACCACTAGGCTATCCAAACACCCCTATTTGTGTCAAACCATACGATGTGTATGACAGGTGTTATTGCAAATACGAATGCAAAGGTGTCTTTATAAACCATCACTCATTCATTCAAGATTGGGTGAGTGAGTATGGTTTTACGCCGCGTTAAGTATTATTTCATCAATATCAGGGCGGGGGAAACCAGAAATAGACTTCACACATGGCACCGATGTGAGGAATCGAACCCGAGTCTTTCCGTGATGAGGGAATGCTTTAACTACTACACGCCCATTCGTTTAAGAGTTGAAATATATGTACACAAATATATCCCTATTATGCATTCACACCGGAATGACAAACATCAACCAAATTCATAAACTGTTTCAGCTGATGGACATTCTATTTCAAAAGCAAACAAATGAAAACAAAGAAAAAGTTTCAGATGAAAACAAGAAACTATCTTCTGTTCTTTAACACTGTCATATTGCTCTGAATTTGTTGATTCTGACATTGTTGTAACCTTCTTCAAGACATTGATCAGTTTGGACTTTCGTGCCAAATTTATCTGAAATCGAACTTGGCAGCAAGACTAGTTCAAAGTTAGACATTTTGTGTAAGTATTTTCAAGAGCCACACAACCACACAACCATGTACATCATATGTTACTGGCAGCGTATATCATTGACGCCCTTCAAAGAAAGTTATGAAAATACAAAAGCCAATATATAGTTAAACTCACGTGGTAGTGTGGCTGACTGCAAAGACGTTGTGAGATCTTGTGATGCAGAAAGGACTACACGGGATCTTTTATACCCTTGTATATCGTTTTGACAACGATAATTTTCAGTTGCACATCCCCAATTACAAGTGTCAATCGTTACGTCGAATATCATATTTTGACACGACGTCAGACAAAATGAGCAATTAATATCGAAGAAAGAAACGTACGTCTCCAAACGTAATTTGTACAAAATGTAATTTTAAAAAATAGAATTAATGCTAACACTGCGTGTTCTGTTACATTTCAAAAGATCCGTTATTGTCCATAATGGAGAAATTGATGCAAAATATGTAATGATTGCTTTAAGTAGTGACGGATCGTGCCTAAACTCGATACTAATAGTGAAGGGTTATGTTGGTTCCTTAGATGTGTGGAGCTAAGGAGCTATAATTATCGCATCTAATGACAAGCATGCACCAAAGGAACGAAGTCTAAAGAAAGAACATATTTGAAATGAAAGCGATTTACTGAATTGTTTGGATTCAGATCAGATCTCAAGAGGAAATGTTTTTACGAAGTTCGTTTGTTCCATGCATTATCTGCAACATGTGTTGATAATGTTGATGTTGATGCAATAGGAAGGTTTTATCGGATGTAATAGGTAGCGATCTACACACTTAGAAATCAAAGAAGGGCGTCAATGATATACGCTGACAGTAACATATGATGCACATGGTTGTGTGGTTATGTGGCTCTTGAAAATACTTCGTTGCAGCATTCACATAAGATTTAACGCCTACTTCTCGTCTAGTAAATAAAAGCAACAAAATGATTTCCGTAAATCATTAGGGATCTCTTCCAAAAGGTTGGAATGACGTCATGGAATGACTAATAGTATGAAATGTTGATGACAATGTGTCAGCGAAAGGATGGGCGTGTCCTCAACTTTTGGTGACACATGAAAGGGTGAAATCAGGTTTTATCGAAGTCTTGCTCCACTCAGCAACTTGAAGGTGTCGGCCCGGGAAAGCGAAGGTTTGGGCCAGATTTCGCTTTCCCGGGCCATAACCACATTGAAGCATTGAAAATACTTTGCATGATATGTTTTGATGGTGTGGATGTTAACATGGCCAGATTTCCATGCCAAGGACCATGCCATTTTATCACTGAGAATTCCTATGGCATACAAAGAGATAGACCAAGATAAAATCCAGCATCACAATAGTGCGTATATAAGGTATAACCATTCCAAACTCACCAAATTGTAAATACCAACGATAGCATTTTAGCAGCGTTGCGAATACAAGTTTGACAACTGGTAGTGTAGAGTTCGTGATCTACATTTGTAACACGACCATTTGTCAGACTCCAAGTGTTGTGGAAGCTGCACTGGCTGAGTTGGTTAGGTATCTGACTATGAGTGGTGGCGATTAGGAGTGTGGGTTCGAATCCCGGATGTGACTGAGAAAAGTACTAGAATCTGTACATACTGAGAACGTGTAATCCCAACTGTAACATGGGTTACGTGTTACCACTTTCTTACTGGCATTGTGTTTTCTCACCCATATGTTAAATAGGTAATAGCTTTTAGTCAGCATCAAATATCAAAGCCAGGGAATAACCAGTATAGATTATCTGCGAATTCCAATCGGGTTTCAGGTGAAATTAGCTGTAACAGTTATCATACCAATCGTCGTCATACGATGAACACATACTGTTTTAGTATATGTAGTAACTATGAACTGTTATGTAATGGGTTAATACTTGCCTCAGTCCATATATCCTGGTGTCCGCCCGGGAAATACCACATTTGGAAAATACCAATTGCCGCTAAAGTCACATTTCAAGTACAAACCTTGGTGCCGTGAATCGCCGCCAAAGCTGCGATGAGTAAGGGGATCAATACCGGTTTTTTTCCAATAAGCGTCATCCATTGATCACAATGGATTACAATTGTTTTAGTGACTTGTCTTTTGTTTGTTTAGTTAACATATGATGGGCGGCTTCTTTATTCTCGTTGAAGTTATTAGTTAACATGAGATAAAATGATACATGCTAATGGGTCATTCTATGGAAACGGGCAATTTCAGCTTTTGCTCTTAAGAAAATTTTATTTGTAATTTTTTGTCTTCATGTAAACTACTTTGGTTTGTATGATTGGTATATTGCATCAGCAGAGAAGTTTGGACAATAATTTTCCATCAAATTTATTGTGACGTTTCAACTTTAAATCAACGTGTCATTACTGCAACGGTGTAAAAATACAGATTTTGGAAAGTCTAGTCATACATTTTGCTTCTGAACATGAAATATGCTGTTTAAGTGTTTAATGATCTTTCTGTAAAAACTATATTTTAAAATATCATCGTATTCGTCTTCATCGTGATATCAACACCTCAAAACTCAACAAACTTGCCATGCAATGACTAGGCATGCAGCATACCATAATATTGTATTGGCGTTCAATTTAAGGTGTCCTGGGACTCACATCATAAGTGTACACGCTATTACCAGTGGCTGAAGCTGATATTGTCACACAGAATGCATGACAATATGTTCCCATCAGCTAATGGCTAAATATTGCAAGAACAGAAAGTAGAAGCTAATATTGGCATCCTCGTACCAGATAAACATTTCATAGCACAACGTTAGTGTGTGAATAGCGTATTGGGAGTATTCTACAATGCTATCAAGGATCTTCCATCACGGCAATATTGGCATCACGGTTACAGACATTTCGTAGCGTTCAGTACTGCGGCATCCTGAATACCACTTAACAGGGTTTGGCGTAATTAAAGGGGTATGTCCCCTGCATGAGTGAGTGAGTTTAGTTTGACGCCGCACTCAGCAATATTCCAGCTATATGGCGGCGGTCTGTAAATAATCAAGTGTGGAGCAGACGATCCAGGGACCAACAGCATGAGTACCGATCTGCGCAATTGGGAACCGATCAAACAATGACCCCCACCCCCAACCCCTTTCTAGTCCATGTCTACAAAATTGATAGCCCCCCTACCTCCCAACAACAAAATGGATGACCCCCAACCCCCACCACCTTTAATATCACACACACACACACACACACACACACACACACACACACACACACACACACACACACACACACACACACACACACACACACACACACACACACACACACACACACACACTGAATGATAAAACGAACACGAAAAGCCTTCTAATCCATCTGCAAAAGACTCATCTAACGATGTTCCACAAATCAAAAGTATATCATATCAATCTTAATTATTTTCCTATATCAAAAACATGTGTTTGTGAATCAACCTCAAATAGTGATACCAGGTATTGGCGAAAAGGGGATCATAGTCTCATTGTTGGCACAGTCATTCATTAAAGCTGAAAACAGAGCTGACTGTAAGATTGCGACAGAATCGTGATCAGACGTTCCTGAATCACTGGTGACACTTTGCGTTTGCAAACATCTGAATGTCCCCAGCCATACCGGTTGAACCCTTCGTAAACATATGCAAAAACTAGTCAACTATTCACTTTGAATGTTTAACCTTTAAATCTACTTTTCCCTGTGACTTAGCCTGTGTCCATGCAAATTGTCTGATATGAAGTCGTCACACTATCTGTGTCCTAGGTCACTAGAACTGTACGTTTACACGTTCTTATATACTAACGGAAAAAAGTAACTGAGCATAACATAAAATTACATAAAACAAAAGTTATTTGAAAAGTTATAAACATAGTTCTTAATAAACGAATGCCATATGTTTTTGAATGTGATACGTTGAAAAACATTATAAAAGACAGGCCGCATACGTTAGTATTTGTTTTAGTGCACTGCCCCAAGGGCACAAGAAATAACACTGCACCAAGAACACGACTGTGCAACAGTTAACCTAGGCTATATGGTGTCAGATGCTTTGACCGTTCATCATCACTGTGCCTTTGATCTTTGCACAGTGACCTGTCTTCATTATAATAGTGCCCTCGATCTTGATACAGAGCCAGTGCATGGCAGTAGGACCTTGTTCGCCACTTGCCTGAACACCTCGTCGCAACATTAAAGTTCATTGTTACGGTGTTGTCCAGGGTTATGGTGTTTCGTGCAACGAATACAATACACATTGTAATACTAAACTAAGCTGGTTATTCAAGTATGTGAATTCCTACATTAGTATTAGTATGCATTAGGTTTGTTAAATGGCAGTTAATCGATGACAACATGAAATATCCAAAGTTGCCACAGACAGTGCACTAAAGTATGGAATGAGTGAGTGAGTTTAGTTTTATGTCCAGTTTAGCAATATTCAAGCAATATCACGGCGGGGGACGACAGAAACAGGGTTCACACAATTTACCCATGTGAGGAACCAAACTCAGGTCTTCGGCGTGACGAACGAACGCTTACCCCAGCGCCCCAAAGAGTATGGGTAGTTTTCACGAAACAATTAGCAAGAATGCTCACTTTGTGAAGTTATGTGCGTTTTATAGAACAGACACGAAACATCTATAGCAGACTTATCAATCAACACATCTCCCAGCGACCTGCATATGGCAACCGGTAAATGGCTGTAATCATCTGTAACCACAACCTAATTACAAGTCGCCTTCATGAACAGGATTCGCTTTCCAGGTCACATGTTATATTTCATGTTCCATCGTCCCCCATATTTTTTATTCAACGTCTGTTCTTTTACCTCGCCAGTGACGAGCATAAGTATTAGTTAACACTGATTTGTTCGTCAGTCGTTTTTTTTTTCTCACTGCAACATGCTTTCACTTTTGAGTGAATGATAAAAAGTGCTATTTCGCCCGATATAAAAGAAGTATATTTTGTTGAAATCATATTTAATTGTGTTCTTGTACCATGTACTTTTATCCTGGCCATATCTGCAGGAAAAAACATTTAGTTGTATACGGGTGGTATAAACTACCTGAAAGAACTTTTTTGCATAAATGTTTGAATTGATTTGATTGATTTGAATTTGAATATTCAAATGCTCCATTTTTCAGTATTGTACTAATTTCAACTAAAATCGTCGAAGGCTAAGCCTCGGGAGCTATTGTCCAACAAGGATGTGAGCCTATGTGACACGTTGTAATATAATAGTCAATGAAATGATCATCAACAA